TATGCACGTGTGGCATGACACGTGTCGTCACCACAACTTTGAAACCCTCTTTTACATATATATAGGATAGGATAGAATAGGATAGGATAAGTCAAAGTTTCACCCATATTCCCCCAAATTTTCAGCGTGTGCTTAAATTTTTCTTACAAAGGAAAATTTAATTGGAGTCTTCAATTTTAATTGGCTAATATGGAGTAGAAGGTAAATCTTAGCCGATGAAAATAAGAAAAGAAACTAATAGATTATAATTTCTTCTAAAATAGAATATTGATGCAATTTGCTGTAAAATTTAAAAACATATATGATAAAAACTAAATAAAAATATTTATAAAACAAGAAACGAATAGATTATAATTGCTTCTAAAAAAGAAAAAAGTACTATACATAATTTCATAGTTCGAATATATTAATTTTATGATTTAATTTTATTACTAGACAATTTATGATTTATTGTTCTTAGATAATTTATTATTTAAATTTTCAAAATATTATTACTAATTATCTATATTACGATATTATATTTTTAATAATATTATAGAGTACAATTGATTCAAAAAAGTGTACGTGTCAACATGGCATGCTATGTTTACATTAATTTTCTTTATAAATTTAACATTATTGAGTAAATTTAATTATGGGATAGCTTATAGAGATCATTGCTTTTAGAATGTACAAGCAGTTTTCTAATTTTACATTTCTTTCACTTTATTTATAATAAAACTATCAAAAAACAAATAAGATTTCCTCCGTTAAAAAAATATATTTCTTAACCTCTAAAAATTCATATTTGTTTATGTCAAGCTTAATTGAAATTATTTTTTAAATATATTATTTTTAATTATCTATTATGATATGATATTTTTAATTATATTTTTAACCTGATAAGAGTTTACCAAAATTGGTGTGGTAAAGTCAAGGAACACTTACCTAAATTTTTTAGAAAAAAGAAATGACTTAATACACGTCCAAGGAGGACAAAACTGAAGCCTTATATATTTTTAATTACATCATACAATACAATACATTATAGAATATAATTGACATATTGTATTTACACTAACATTCTTTATTATTTCAATATTATTGATTAAATTTAATTATGGAGTAGAGATCATCTTTTTAAATAGAAAATACGAGTATTTTCCTAATTTTATTTTTGCTCACTTTATTTATAATAAAACTATCGATGAATAAATAAAATTTCTTTCCTTAAAAAGGATACTTTCTTAACCTCTAAAAAAATCGTACTCCGTATTTGTTTATGTCAAACTTAAATGAAGTTAGTTTTTATTTTATTTATTTTCAATATTAACGTTAAATAAAATATAAAAATATATTTTAATCTCTAAATTAAAATAAAATTAAACAATAAATGAATAGACTTTTTTTAAAATGATCATATATTTAATTCAAATAAATTAAAATAGAACGGTTTTACAGGATCGAGCTATTATACATCCAAAAAACTAAAAAATATCACATGTTTTTGTAAATATCTATTTGAATCATCGGATCATAATTGGTTCTATATTCATTTTTTTGAATTAATGCACGGGAGTAGAATCACTAGGTTTTTAAAGTTTTTTTAATTATAATTTTTTAATCATAATATTGCTAATCTAATCTTTTATTTTTTGAATCATGCACAGAGAGAAGATTCATATTTTTGATCAATACGAAGGAGGATGATCATATTAATGTAAGAGAGACGAATAATATTTATTTTACTAATATAAATTAATGTGGCGATGCAGGGTAGAAGAATCATATTTGTTGAATCATAAAGTTTGTAATCTATTTTTTTAAATTAATACGATGAAGAATAATTATAGGATAGAATTTCTTTATTTTTAATTAAACCAAGTAAAGAAAACCATATTTTTTAAAAAATTAATTTGAGAGAAGAGAATCATATCAATACGAGGATTTAAATCAATTTTTTTTGATAATCTGAATCAATGTGGGGATCATATATTTGTCCCATCAATGATGATTGTATAATAATTGAGTTTACAAATGAAAAAAATGTTTGTAAATCTCAAATCATAAAATAATTTTAATTTGAAGAATGTTGTACCCATTATGTTATTCATGAACATCGATCAACCATATGAAATGTATAATAGTACAAGGTTAAGCATCGAAAGTTGTGAAAAATTATCTTTGGCACAATTGTGGTATTAGGAAATAAAGTCTTAGAGAAGGGTTACACAACATAAATGAATTATACTCCGTATATTATTTTATACAAGAGTACTCTCGAAGTTTCAAAAAAATATAATTTTCAATTGCTTATATTTCGCTATGATTATATATAAAAGTTAATGTCAAACATTGGCATTTATAATATTATTTTTCCCAAGTTGGTATTCACTTATTGTTAATTTTATATTATTATTTCACGAGTGAAAGTAAAAATAAAATTGAAAGCATTAGTTTTAGATGTCTTTGGTAACCTTTATAATTTCACAAAAAAATATTGTATACCTCAACATTTTTAAAAATATTCTAATTTAAATAAGACTTTAAAATATGAAATTTTAAATGTATATAGTAGAATTTTCATTAGCAAATACTATATGTTTTATGTTGTTTGAAATTTGAAAATGTTGAAACGATGAAAAAGAACAAAAACAAAACAAATTGGTTCCACCCCGCACGGGTGAAAACACTAGTGGTTGAAAAAAATGCAATTTGCAGCTATTGGTTGATACGGCGTTTGAAGAGAAAAAAGAGCTCTCATTGAGCTGTAATTTTGACAAACTTTCAAATTTTAATTTTTTGTCTTGGTCCCGTTTAGCAACAATCATGGAAATTAGTGTTCTAAAAATATTACTCTATCAAAATACTACTTCCATTATTGAGTATTTATCGAATTTTAAATTTTTGTAGTCAATTCTTTGACATATAATGGAATAAAATATATATTATATATTTATTAGATAGAATAATATTTTGAAAATATTTTATAAAATGAATCTGATATAATTATTTTTATATCAATATCTAACATTACTTTTATTTAATTTGGGATCAAAAGTCATTAATTTTGACAGGAAAAAAATAAAAGTGACTAAATACTCAGAGACGGAGAGAGTAATAGTTAGAAACGTTGCCCGTAGATTCGTAAAACATATGGAGCACTTCGTAAATGGGCCGATGAGTAGTATATTATTGTGAGAGTAAATTCCATATAACGTCCCCAGTTATAGTTCGTTTTATATATTTAATCCCTACATATCAAATATCAATAATTTAGTTTCTAATTATTATATTGTTTTCCACGAATAGTCTTTTGTTAACATTTCCGTTAAAAACGTGGATAAAATTTTAAATTCACACTCCTCTCTCTCCTCATTTAAGCTTTCTCCCTCCTCTCGCACTTTTTTTCTTAACTCGTCGCTGAGTTTGAAGTTTTGAATCTAAAACCGAAATCATCACTCCTCTCTCAAATGTTCTTCTTGGTGGAATCCAAAATCGAAACCAATAAACTTAATGGATGAGTTTTAAAGTTTGTTTTCTTTGCAATTTCCTAAGACTAACCCATAAAACACATCCATATCCATGAAGGTTATTGGTTTCGATTTTGGTTTCCAACAGAAAAATGAACAATTGAGAGATGAGTGATGATTTCGGTTTTAGATTCAAAACTTCAAACTCAGCGATGAGTTTGGAAAAAAGAGTGCGAAAGGAGAGATGGAGCTTAATTGAGGAGAGAGAGGAGTGTGAATTCAAAATTTTATCCATGTGTTTTAACGAAAATGTTAAAAAAGGATCATTCGTGGAAAACAATAAAACAATTGGGGACTAAATTATTGATATTTGATATGTAAGGACTAAATATGTAAAAACGAACTATAACTGGGAATATTTTATGGAATTTACTCATTATTGTGAATTTAGATTTTTGTAATAAAGTCAAATGTTTAGATGTATTTATGGCTTGTTTAGAAATAAGTGAGAGATTAGCATTAGCATTTTGCATAAAATTTTAACGGTGCAGATTATTAAACATTTTCAAAATACTAATACTAATCTTTAACGTTATTTTCAAACAGACCTTAAGCATTCAAAAAAGGATCTGTACGATTTTAAGTAAACCTTATGAGGATGGCAAATAATTATTTCCTACCTTATAAACTTTTTTTTTTGCCAAAGAAAAAAAAAGAAAATTCCTTTATTTTTTGTGGAAGTCCAAAATGTTACTGGAGTAACATTTTTCAGTCCAAGGACAATCTATATGTGCTTTAAAAAAACAAGACATAAATTGAATCAAAAGAATAGAGCACTACATTTGTACTCTTGCGGTCACGTGGATGTCTTTTATATTCCAAATTATTAGACTACTCAAGCAATTATACACCATTTGTACACTAAAAATAAATATAAATATTTTATACCTATTCAGCTAGAAAAGTTATGTGTGTATTTATTTTGGCATACAAATAATCTACAATTATGGGAATACTCCTAGCATTCCCCCTTTACATTTGCAATTTTGCATCATAGCTTCACCTTTGTATTGCTTTGGTACACTGTAGAGACAATTTGGGTCCCCTCCTATATACTCCGGGTATGTAAAGAAACTCGATTAAATTTTGTTTTTTGGGCCAGGTCACTCTCATTATTTTAGGCCCATAGTTTGGCCAAAATATGGAGAATTGGTTTATGGTTTTACGGGAGCAGCCCAATAATTCTTGTCAATAACTCGGAACTTATTGTTCAGCCAAATTTCTTTTTTAAACACCTTAGACCTAAGATCTTCTCATTGCGCGTTACAAGACTTGACCGACTTTATTTTCAATTCAATTTATTTAAATATAGGGGTAAAATTTTAATATAAAATCTATGTAATAATAATAAGCTACATGAAAATTTTTACAAAACTAGAGGTGACAACATTATATTATTTTATAAAATAAGTAGTAAAATAAATAAACAAAGTAAATTAAGTTTAACCCTGTGAATAGTGTTTGAGAATATCTAGGACGACAGAGGGAATAGAACTTTAATAATCTCACAATAAATTTTTAATATATACTCGGTATTTTTAAATTCTAATCACGCCAAACTAAAATATATTCCAAAATGAATGAAGTATTCATTATGGTAAAAAAAATTCAGCACCAAACTAATTTGGGGATTGCCGCCGATGAATTTTTACAGAGTATTTTCCAGAAAGCCTTCTTCTCTAGCGAGGGCAAAATCACTAGTTTCTCATACACGACCTTACCTTGCAGATTTCGTCATTCCGATAACCGCTGACCTTGCAGATTCTGGCATACACCAGATCCGACCGCCACTCCGTCCGATGACTAGTGCTGAGGGATACAACCTCTTTCCAGTGCTTCGTTGCCACTGTTTCCGCTGGTTTTTTGGTTACCCTCGATTCAATTCCAGTTCTCAGGATACAATCCCTACAGCTTGTAATCCCAAATCAGGTTTATGACTTTTAATTTATTTCCCAGTATGACGAGTTCGCATAATTAGTTTTATCACAAGGGTTTGAGTAGCCAATCAGCTTCTTGATTCATTAATCTATAATATCTGACTTTGTTTCTTTTCTGAATCAGTTTTGTTTTTAGTGTTTGGGTAAATTTGTGTTGGGAAAATCACTCTTCAATTTTCTAGCGGAAGCAATTAATAATTTTCCCGTCTTTGTGTTGTCAAAATGGGCAAAATCATATGACCGATCAAGAATAGTAAACACAACAACAAGCAATCAATCAAGCGATAAACGAACACCAAGATTTAACGTGGAAACCCAAAATCGGGGAAAAAACCACGAAGCCTTCCACTAATCCCCAAGAAAATCAGTGGGTACAACCAAGAATCCTCTCTACATCAATTAGAGGTATACACAATCATCAAGTAACAACTTGGAACACCAAACAACAATAATCTTCACTCAAAAGTAAGAAATCCCCAATAAAAAACGCAGCAGTAAACAGAGGCAGTTTTACCGACATCGAGAGGTCGAAACAACAATCCCAGCGTTGGATATGAAGAAGAGGATGTGAGGAACAACATACTAAAATTCCATCCCGATCGGAGCTCGTTTGGTCGTCGATCGGAGCACAAAACCAGGCTGCACCTCTCTTTTTCTCCCTTCTTCCTTCTCTCGGCTCTCTCTATTTTTTCTCTCTGTTTTGCTGCCCTGTTCTTTCCTGCCCGTGACCAGCCAAAAGGCTTTTGCCTTTTCAACAAAGTGGCAGCCCCACTACTTTGACTAATTCTTTCTTTATAATAATAATAATAATAAATATTATTATTATTATTATTATTACAATATTACTCCACCTCTAAACAAATTACATTTTTAACACCAAATGTATTGTTTAGGAACTCCTTCCTCCATGTAGGAGGGATACCCCAACAAATCTCCCCCTCACTCCTACATGGGGGGTAAAACTCAATGGTGATAAATATCAAACAAACCTTTCACAACCAACTGCGCCAAGTCCGTAGGTTGCGAGCAACACTCTCTTCTCTTCAACTTGAACACCCGATTGCTCTTGGGTGCTCGCTTGCTTCCATACAACTTTACCAGGGTAAGACCACGACCATCAAGCAAGGATATAACCCCATCTCGCTTGGCTTGAACCCACTCTCGTTGGTGCACCTTCTTCACTTCTTCCTGGTAGCAATCTCTCTCAAATATACCAATTTGAGGAACACAAGGCGGCGTAACTCCATGCTCAAAATGAGGTGGCTCAAGTACATCACCATCACAAGCAGCATCATCACCACAACATTGTTCTCCATCTTCTCCCCCATGATCTGATTGAATGGTAGGAAAAGGAATGTCACCTTCAGGGAGGATATTCTGACAACTCTCAAGCATGTGACCAAGCCTCTCGTGCGACAAATCCGTGGAGGGTGCATTGTTCTGATCTCCTCTGCACATCTTTGCTTGCATCACGTAAAGCCTGCTCTCTTTCTTACCTCGGGCCACGATCAAAGAACCTTTGGTGAGCTTCCGCTTTCCTTCACCAAGGCGGCTAACATAACCATCTCCGTCAAGTCCTCCAGCTGAAATGAGGTTGAACTGAAACTCTGGAACATGTCTGACATCTCTGAGGATTAACCTGCAACCAGTGTTAGTCTTCAAACAAACAGTGCCCATCACAACAATCTTAGATGATTTGTCACCCTTTCCCATCTTGACATAGCCAAAGTCACCGCTAGTGTAAGATGAGAAGAACTCCCGATGAGGTGTGAGATGACATGAGGCACCCGAATCAATGATCCAAGTGCAATCCTGAAAAGCAACATCAAAGTTAGTGTCATCACACACGAAGAATAAATCATCCGCATCTACAAGGGCTGCTGTGTCTTTCTCCTCTTTCTTCTCAGAAGTCTGACCATTTTCCTCTTTCTGCTGGGCTTTATCTCGCTTCATCTTTCTACACTGAGATATCTTATGACCCGGTTTATCACAATAGAAGCATTTCACTTCGCCTCTTGATTTAGATCTCCCCCTGGATTCAAAGTCCCTATGTCTGTGTCTTCCACGACCCTCTGCCTCAGCAACATGAGCCTGATCTGAATAGCCTGATCTGAATAGCTGGAGGAACTCAGTTCTCTTCTCCTAGCTTCTTCATTCAGCAGACTCGACTTCACAACATCCATTGGGAGCTTACCCTCTGGAGCAGAATTGCTAAGTGATACAACCAAGGTCTCCCAGCTTTCTGGCAACGAGCTGAGGAGCAACAACGCCTGCAATTCATCATCTAAAACCAATTTCATTGAAGACAACTGGTTAATCAATTCCTGAAAATCATTCAAATGCTCTACCACACTATGCCCATCCCTGTAATCAAGTTTCACCAGTCTTCTCATAATAGAGGCTATATTCAGGGCATTTTCTCTCTCACACATGCATTTGAGTTTCTCCCACAGTTCATAGGCGTTGGTATCATTAGCAACATGCTGAAACACACTATCATCAATGAATTGCCTAATCATTCCCACAGTTTTTCGATTAAGCAATTTTCAAGTACCTTCCTGTTTACCGCTTGACATCTCCTTATTCAAGATCGGTTCATGCAAATCCTTAATATATAAAATATCTTCCATCCTGGGTTTCCAACTTTGATAATTGGAGGAGTTCAATTTTATCATCCCTCCAAAAACATCTTTATCCTCCATTTTAACAACACAAGAAAATCACCCAAAAATATAACTCAAGCTCTGATACCAATTGTTGGGAAAATCACCTCAGTTTTCTAGCGGAAGCAATTAATAATTTTCCCTTCTTTGTGTTGTCAAAATGGGCAAAATCATATGAACGATCAAGAATAGCAAACACAACAACAAGCAATCAATCAAGCGATAAACGAACACCAAGATTTAACGTGGAAACCCCAAATCGGGGAAAAAACCACGAAGCCTCCCACTAATCACCAAGAAAATCAGTGGGTACAACCAAGAATCCTCTCTACATCAATTAGAGGTATACACAATCATCAAGTAACAACTTGGAACACCAAACAACAATAATCTTCACTCAAAAGTGAGAAATCCCCAATAAAAAACGCAGCAGTAAACAGAGGCAGTTTTACCGACATCGAGAGGTCAAAACAACAATCCCACCGTTGGATATGAAGAAGAGGATGTGAGGAACAACATACTAAAATTTCATCCCGATCGGAGCTCGTTTGGTCGTCGATCGGAGCACAAAACCAGGCTGGACCTCTCTTTTTCTCCCTTCTTCCTTCTCTCGGCTCTCTCTATTTTTTCTCTCTGTTTTGCTGCCTGTTCTTTCCTGCCCGTGACCAGCCAAAAGGCTTTTGCCTTTTCAACAAAGTGGCAGCCCCACTACTTTGACTAATTCTTTCTTTATAATAATAATAATAATAATAATAAATAATATTATTATTATTATTATTATTATTATTATTGTTATTATTATTATTATATTACTCCACCTCTAAACAAATTACATTTTTAACACCAAATGTATTGTTTAGGAACTCCTTCCTCCATGTAGGAGGGATACCCCAACAATTTGTTTATCAATTTGGTTTGAAGTTTAACTCTTTGGCACAAATAATAGCATTCCCCAGCATAAGTTTAGTGTTCTATATTTTTGTTGTTGTTCTTGAGCTTCCCTCAGTTCAATTGTATTTGTACTGCAAGAATCTATCATCTATACCCTCACAATTATCCTGTTTAGGTTTAAAAGATTCATAGTTTACGCCTTGACGACCTCCATGGTTGTTGTCAAAGTGCTTTTGTTCAAGTCTTTGCCTCCATGACCTCCACAACTTTTATGGTTGTTTAAAAGTTCATTATTGGCCATACTTCCACAACTAGCATGCTTGTTAGTGGGTTCATCACATCTGCCTCCTCGGTTGTGTTTGAGGCCGGGTCGTCGTACTGTTTGGGCCATAACTTTGGGTACGGGTGTCCAATTTTAGCGGTCTATACCTTTTCGGAAAGCTCTCGGCAAGATGCATAGGGGCCCGATCTGTCTAAGACCCATCAGGGTCCATATTTTACTCAAAAATCTGCAGTTTAACCCATTAATTTTTCACTTTTGTGATTTTTGGCCTTATCGTTGTTCGGTTCTTTTCTTATACAACCTTGGTTCAATTCGGGTTTAAGTTTCCTCTAGAACCTATCTTGGAAAGAGAAACACAAAATGAAACACACGCTTGAAGATGAATTGTATTACCATTCCTGCAAACATGCAGCCAAGGCTCCAAAAATCTAAAGAATGGTCATAGTTTTGTAAGGTAACCAAGAGTTCAGGACCCTAAAAATGCCTGAACAACAATCATATTTTAGTGATGGCTAGAGTTAGCATGATAGCTTAAACCGACTCTGTTTTTACCTTTATTTGTGTCTTTAAAATTGACTTAGTGTTGTTACCTTGAAGCCACACAAACATTGTATTCCTTTCATAGGTGGTAAAATTCAGCAAGCCCCTAATCTATGAGGTAAAGCTTTCACAACACATGGTCTATCACAACATATTGAGGTTTCACTTGAAGAGGCTTACACTTTGAAGACGCATCTCAAGTCTTTTTGTGAGGCAGGTAATTGTATGTGCGACTTTATGTAATAAGGCCCATATACTGAAAGTTTGTCCTTAATATGTAAGAGACATCATATCGGTCTATTTTTCTCTCCACGTTGTCGCTCCCCAGCTCCAAGACTCAGCAATCAGCAGCTATATGCATTATTTTTTTTCCTTTTCTTGTGCCTGATGCTCCCTGCCTCTGTTCTTAACTTCTTATTCTTATCCATCTCCTTCTATCTGCATTACTTGGTCACTTTTTTTCCACTAGTTCTTCTCTGTTTTTCTTTGTGGTTTTGTGAATTTGATATTAGATTTAAATGTTTTCTATGCTGACATATATTACGCTTTACATGATTAGATGAGATGAGATTTTCAATAAAAAGTTTTCAAAGTAGCACTCCTGTTTTTAATTGTTGGTATATTTTGCGGCTTGCACCTACGCGCCTTGCCTCTCTGGAACAAAAACCATGCTAGGGGAACCCTACCTCTCACCTCATCTTCTCTTATTGTTTAATATAAGCGGATATACAAGTTTTCTGGGGGTTCTTTTTCATGGAATGTGTGTGCCTCCTAGTCTATGTTCTTTTTCTTTTTTTATTACATGTTGGGTAGTTGTGTTTTTAATTTTTGCTACATTTTTAAGCCTGATTGATGTCTATTACTTCATATTATGTATTTGAGATCAAGATTTCTTAGTATTCAACAAGGGGTTGCATTGGCGAAGTATTTTGAAATGTAGTTTTGGTAATTATTTGGATGAGGACTTTGTGTTTGGTTAGTGGCAACTGACAATAATGAGTTTTGGTTGTTCAATTCTCTTTTGTAGATTTTTTTAGGTTGGTAATATGCAGGTGGGAATTGGTGTTAGTTGGACTTCACAATTCCAACTAGATGTCTAGATGATGAGTTCTGCTTACCAAGTTACCTTTTCACTTTCAAAAGAAGCATATTTATGTATGAAGAACTGCTGATTTTTTAAACGAAGGCTGCTTGTCACTAGTTATTCCGATTGATAGCCAGGTAATGCTATTTTTGGCCCGCTTTCTTATCTGTTTAATGATTGGTAGCCATGTTAAGTATTCAAATATTATTTTTCTTTTAACTAATGACATTATATGGTATTTTGGTTTATTATCTTATGTGTTTTAACGTGATTTCACTTGGTTGTTGGCCTAAATCTTAGTTCGGGCACCTATCAAGTAGTTGATGCAGCTGTTTTATTTGTTTTTGGCTGGTTTTTCTATTGTCGATAGCCATTATTTTGGTCATGATAAAGCTGTAGATACCTTGGTCTTGGTTGTAGCCATACTTGCCTTTTTACACATTCTGCATTCCCTCCAACCAGTTTCATTCACGCGGAACATCTCAAAATAACCTCTCTGTTTTTTCAAGGTAAGAAGGCATACATCTTGATCCCATCACCCCAACAGTAAAGTCTCTAGATTTAAACTATGTAAGAAGTATGAACTTTGTCTGAGTGGTTGGTAGCTGCTAGATTTTCACCTTTGGTCTTAAACATACATTCTTTTATTAATCCAGATGAATCTAAAGGTTTAGTGAAAATTGGCTTTTAGTTATACTTGGTGACATCATAGTTGATGTGGTGGTTTATTTATAATTTTGTTTTCTCAACTTACAGCGTGCATTATGGAATAGCTAATTTTGTTGTAATAGCTGCTTTGTGGGACATTAGAGGCAGACTACTCAATACCTAATTAAGTTCTTTCTCTTGGGATTCTCTCTACAATGATAATTTTGTAAAACTTCTACTTAGATTCTTGGTCTTTAGTTTCCATTAGGTATAAGTAGGATGAGTATCATTTGACTTCTTTGCTTGAAATGGCTCTTAACAAACAAATGAGGAAACACTTCCGTATTGAAATTTTGTAGCTTATTAGTCTTCAATTGCAATCTAACATCAAAACAGTCTCTTGTGGAGCTGATTTTACTGTTTGGCTGACCTCTATTGAAGGATCTTCTAAACAAATCATTTTCTAATTGCTCATACTGTTGTTAATTGTTTTTATAACTGCTGGTCTACCACAGTATGGCCAACTTGGCCATGGCACTGACAACGAGGTAACATATGATGTATTTTCGTCTAAAGTGATTGCTTCATATTGCTTAATGCTCTGTATGTAGTGTTATTTGAACTGGGTAAATTGTAACCGCTTTGAATATACATGTGTGAGGTCAACCCCCATCTTGAGGATCCCTTTTGGGATGAGCTATACCCTTAGCATAATATTAGTCATATGAGCCGTGCCCTATAATTGATGGTTTGGGGTAGTTCTTTTGGGGGTTAGTTTGGCACCATTTTCCCAACTGTCCATTTCAATTTGGGTTGGAGTGGGTTGACTGTTGAGTGTTCCACATTGGTTTTGCACTTCATTTGAGTGGTTTGAATCTACTCCCTTAGTCCCACTATTTTTGAGACATGAGAGGGACATAATTTTAGAAAAAAATAAAAATGTGTGGTTGATATTAGTGTTGAGAAGTAGGATAAAGTCTAAATGTGAACCACACATATATGACCTAATATGATATGATACAAAAATAGTGGGACGAACAAAAAAGGGGAAAAGAGATAAAAATAATGGGGCTGAGGGAGAACTATGTGAAAGGGCTAAGGGTCATAAATATCACATATTGAGGATACTTTCAGAATGAGTTAGACCCAATATAATAGACGCTATCATTTTTTACAGCACAACACTAGAGATAGTTCTATGAAACTTGTATATGAAGCTCAACCTAAGCCCAAAGCAATAGCTGCCTTTGCTGGTGAAGCCATTGCTGAAGTGGCTTGCGGGTCAAACCACACAGGTTCTTATCTTAATGTAATCTATATGTATCCGTACACTTATATACATACACTCATTTAACAACAAAAATAAGTATATACTTCTTTGTGTAGTTGTTGCTAATTTCCCTTACCCTTTCGTTTTATGTTATGGTGATCAGTTGCAGTTGATTCTAATGGACATGTTTATACGTAAGTTTTCCTACATCATATTTGGTGTAGCTAATGACTCATTTGATTTGTACACCCACACACGATAGTAAATAACTTTTTTTTACTAAAAAAATATTTCAGCTAGGGCTTCGGTGGGGAAGGGCCGTATGCTCACTATATCAATTACAAGCATGCCATTTGCTTTATTCTTCTTAATAATAGCAACGAGAGCAATGTAATATGGAGTATAAATAACTTCAAGTGCTCATTTGCTGCTGAGTTGGCAGGCTTGGCCATAGAGAGCAGAAGGATGAGTGGGCCCTGCGACGTGTTGATGGATTTAGCATACAAAATGTCCTGCCCCCTGATTCTGTGAACTCATCTTGCACTGCTGGTATGCTGTATGTCTAGGTCTATATATGTCACTCCCCCTGCAAATGTTCTTTGTTATTCTTCCCTTTGCTAATAGACACGCGCCTCATGTTCAGGATCCCCAATACTAAGCATTACACATTCGTTTTAAAAACACGTATATTGTGTGGTCATTTTTCATATTCATATGAATATTATTATTAATATTTTTATTGGACGTGTCCTTTTATATGTAGGGGTAGGCCAGCTATGCATGTGGGGAAAAATAAAGAGCACTGGGGATGATTGGATGTATCATAAACTTCTGATGGATTTAAGGTTCCTTCACACTTGCTTTAATTTGCTTATTCATCCTTGCTGCATAATGATGGATCAACAGCCTTTTGATGTGGTCCCAAATTATAAATTTATAATTTAATTCTTGTGATGCACTGACATGGGCTTCTCTTGAAATTCTCTACGATGATAATTTGGTAATACTACTAAGATTAGTGGTTTTTAGTTTTCATTTCGTATAAATAGGATGAGTAGCATTTGACTTTGCTTGAAATGGCTCTTAACAAATGAATGAGTGAACACTTCCGTATTGACATTTTACAGCTTATTAGTCTTCAATTGCAATCTCTATTCATGGCATAGTTGCTCAGGTTGATAGGCCGAACAATGAATACCCACATCATTTCACAGGTGTTTTTGGTTTTCTTTTTAGAGTGATGTCTGTTCTTAAGCATTGTACTCTATGCTTCATTGGGTTTGGATGTAGTGCTGAACTTATTGTTTTGTTTTGGGATGTAGTGCTGAACTTATTGTTTTGTTTTGTTGTTGCAGACTTTTAGATGTCGGCCTTTGCAAATAGCAAAGAAGGGCTAAGGGTCATAAATATCACATATTGAGGATACTTTCAGAATGAGTTAGACCCAATATAATAGACGCTGTCATTTTTTACAGCACAACACTAGAGATAGTTCTATGAAACTTGTATATGAAGCTCAACCTAAGCCCAAAGCAATAGCTGCCTTTGCTGGTGAAGCCATTGCTGAAGTGGCTTGCGAGTCAAACCACACAGGTTCTTATCTTAATGTAATCTATATATTATCCGCTTACTAAGTACCTAAACGTTATAATGTCCATTACAGGAGAGTAAGTCTCATCATAGTCAATTCCAGGGCGTTGTGAGAAACCTTGCGCCACAAGGTGAGCCTTATATGTTAAGACCTCATTCTTCTCGTTACGCTTTCTGAAAAATACCCATTTATGTCCTACAGGCTTTAGACTTGGACGGGTTAGCACTACCGGACCAAATACCTATCTCTTTGCCAGAGAATGTAGTTCTACCTCGATGGCTTCTTTCCATTTAGGCCAGTCTGCTCTTGGTTGAGATTCTCCGGGGTATTATTTTTAACCAATTCAGTATTAACTCATGGTCAACTTTATACTACTGTTTCACGAGTGAAGACAAAGGCATGATTAAAAATATTGGTTCTAGATGACAACGAAACCCTTACAACCATACCAAAAATGTTGTGTATCCTGGAGTCTTATAGAAAAGTTGGAATTAAAATGACTTTCTTGAGTACACTTTTAATTCCCCAAAAATTATATATTCTACTTTAGCATTGTTGTCTATTGATTAAAAATTGTGTTAGAAATATATTTACTTGATTCCAGAAAATACGTTGAATTGAAAAAATTCAGGATCTACAAAAATTTCGTTCCACCCGTGCATGGCACGGGTTAAAATTCTAGTATTTTATATCTACAAGTTAATCAGACATTGATTTGCCTATAGTGATAAGACATATAAAAGCTCTACAATGTGGAAATTGCATATATGCAAAATAAGATGCCTCGATCTAAGATTTAAAAAAATAACCTGAAAAATTCACTAACACACAAACTAAAATTTACATAGTGGGCATAGATAATCAAAATTAAGATCTCTATACATAAGCATACTGTCCAAAACAAAGGATCTACAATTTGCACACTAATCGTAAATTAGGGTTAAAAAAGATAAGGTAAACGAGACTGGGTAATTGATTGGGATAACCTGGAGCCTGGGTTGCAGGTTTGCTTAAATTTGGATCCTCGGAGTTAAATTGGACATTCTGCCTTGCCCCAAATCGAGTCGTTCAATCGTCAGATTTTGGAACTTCAAAGTTAGTAGAAGGCAATGTCCAACCTTGCCCATCACATCCTATGAAAGCATTTGCCACAATCCATTAAAGCCCCATCGTCTCCTCGGTCTAATTCCGCGTCATTCATCATTGAAGAAGGAGAAAACGCTTCTAGTCGTTTCTTACTCTTTTGCGAACAGAGTCCTTTTTTCACCTCTGAAAAATACAGAGCCCTATAGAGTAATTTAACACCTTTATAAATTTATTTTAAAAAAATTATTTTTAGTGGCAATTCTTTAAAATTGCTACAATAGATCTAATATTTTGTGGCAAATTCTAAATTGCCACATATGTTTGTGAAGTATTTATGTATTGTGGCAAATATTAATTTTGCCACTAAAAGTTTGCCACAAAAAATTATATTTTTTGTACTGATCATCAAAGCGTCCTCCAGTAACGATTCATGGACGTAGTTATAATCCCAAATAATCTCATGTGATGGTTGTTCTACATCGATGATTAATAGATTTGTTTTTGCTGTATACGCCCTTTTCGTTCTTGGGCGAGTGTTTATTGAACCAAGTGGTCTTCCTCTCTCCCTTTGGGGAGCCACAACCTCACCCGCACTTCCACTAGGTGTAGGTGCAATGCATGTCTTTATGGCATTGTGTCCCTTGTTTGGGATTTCTAACCTCGCACATTTATAGCTGGTATGTGTGGTCTTGTCACTTTTGCAATAGAATGAATCGGGCATCAAATCTGCCACATTCTAAAGATCAATTATTCTTTTTACTTCATTTTCACATTGTGACGTAAAAGGATCAAAATGAGACAAGGTAGGAACACACCAAGATAATTCCTGTCATTTTTTTAGAAATTTGTTTTCCTTATCACCCCCTAACGACGGGAATGTTGTCTCATCAAAGTGACAATTTGTAAATCTAGCAATAAAAAAAAATCACGAGTCAGCGGTTCTATATATATCAGATAATTGTTGGTGACTGATGCAGGAGAGGATCAAGACTGACGTGAACTCCTTGTTAAGGCCTTCATTTTTAAATTTTTGTTTCTTTGGGCCTTCGACCTATCTTTTAGTTAGCCCATTTATTTTTATTCTTAGGCCCGTTTTGTCTTCCATCTTTTAGGGTTTCACTCCCTTCGTTTTTCAGCTATTTATAGCCCGGCTTGTGGGCATATTTCATTCAGACTATCATTATTTGAGAATATTTCATATACCCAGAGCGGAACTCTTCCCCTAGCGTTTCAATCATTCCCTTTCTTTCGTTGTTCTTCTCGTTCTAGCCCTACGCCTTGATTTAATTCGGCATCAGTTGGTATCAGAGCTCAGTTCGATGAATAAAGGAAGATCATCCTTCAACATCAATGGTGCGTGCACGAGGTCGCACACGTGGGCAACCTATGGGTGGCGAACCCCCCCGACGAGAACAGCGCCTTGACGACGTGGAGGTGATAACAAATCTACAGCGGCAGAACGAGGTTATGCAGCAGCAAATCGCGGAACTCACACAGCGCCTGGCGGTGCGAGATATGGACGATCATGAGGAGTCAGATCAGGGCTCCCGATCATCGTTCGAGAACCGGTATCATCGCGAACCTCGCGGTCGTGATTTTCGCGTCCGTGACGACTATCGCGGAGGGCTAGGGTTTAAGGTGGAAATCCCTAGTTTTTCAAGAACCACTGCAGGTTGATGATTTCATTTACTAGCTGAACGAGGTGGATCATATCTTCGAGTATAAGGACGTTCCAGATCGTGACAAAGTGAAGCTTGTGGCGATCAAACTCCATGGACGAGCCTCTGCATGGTGGGAACAGATGCGGCAAACTCGTGAGAAGAAGGGCAAGCCAAAGATCAATGATTGGGAGAAGATGAAGGGTAAGATGAGGGCACACTTTCTTCCCTTCGGATACACACAAACCCTATTTCAACGATTCCATACGTTGAGGCTGGGAACGAGGTCCGTTGATGATTACACAGAAGAATTTTACCAGTAGCTTGTGGCCAGATATATGGTAGGCTTGCGTCAGTCCTTGCAGGATGTTCTCAGCCTCCATTCATTATGGACTGTTTTTGAGGCATACAAAAGGGCCCTTGCAGTTGAGAAGCAGCAGAACAGGAAGCCGGTGACCAACAACCGTCCGGCTCGACCCAAGAGCCTCGACCGACCACACAGGGCGCCCAGGGGATGCAGGGAGCTTCTAGTAGTACGATTAAGTGCTATCGTTGTGGTGAACCTGGACATAGGGCAAATGAATGCAAGAAACCCGCTTTACATAGGAGTAAGAGCCTGTTCGTGGAGGAGAACATCGTTGTTGACGATGATGAAGTTGAAGAGTTTGGAGATCCAGTCTATGATGATTATTTAGAAGATGATGTTCTTTACGGGGATGGTCGAGAGAATTTGGTTGTGCGCAAGAGTCTTCTGGCCCCAAAGGATGATTCTAAAGACGACTGGTTGAGGACAAACATCTTCCACACAACCTGCACCATTGAAGGAAAAGTATGCAAGATGATCGTGGATGGTGGTAGTTGCGACAACATCATCTCTGACGAAGCTGTCCGGAAATTGCAGTTGAAGACAGAACACCACCCCAAACCCTATAAGTTGTCCTGGCTACACAAGGGTTCCAAGGTGAGAGTTGACAAGAGATGCCTTGTTTCCTTTTCAATTGGGAATAAGCATCATGATAGTCACTGGTGTGATGTCGTGAAGATGGATGCATGTCACATTCTTTTGGGAAGACCTTGGCAGTATGGTCGTAGCATTGTACATGATGGACGAAAGAATACCTATTCTTTTGTCATGAAAGGCAAGAGGATAATATTAGCACCATGTCGAGAGGACCCTCCTCCACCCTCAACAGAAGGCTCTACTAATCTGCTATCTAGGTCCAAGTTCCTAGAGAAGGTTGAGCATGAAAAGGTGGTTTATGCATTGCTGCCTTGTGATGACCAAGCAGGTGATGAAGATAGTGACTTACCTGTGGAGGTGCAGCAACTTCTAGATGAGTTCTCACACTTGATGCCCGATGAGCTACCTCCTGGTTTACCACCATTGAGGGACATCCAGCATCAAATTGATTTAGTCCCAGGCTCTAACCTCCCAAACAAACCAGCATATCGCCTCAGTCCCAAAGAGGTAGAAGAATTGCAACGACAAGTTGTAGAGTTGCTTGAAAGAGGCTATGTCAGGGAGAGCATAAGTCCATGTGCAGTTCCAACCTTGTTGGTGCCGAAGAAAGATGGTTCTTGGCGCATGTGTGTGGACAGCAGGGCCATCTACCGCATCACAGTGAAGTATAGATTTCCCATTCCCCGACTTGATGACATGCTAGATCAACATTCTGGCTCTAAGATCTTTTCCAAAATTGATCTTAAGAGTGGGTACCATCAGATTCGAATCAAGCCTGACGACGAATGGAAGACCGCATTTAAGACACAACATGGGTTGTACGAGTGGATGGTGATGCCATTTGGTCTGTCCAATGGACCTAGTACGTTCATGCGGTTCATGCACCAGGTTTTGAGACCTTTTATGGGAAAGTTTGTTGTTGTTTACTTTGATGACATCCTTATCTATAGTCCATCTTGGGCTGCCCACTTTGAACATTTGCGTGCTATTTTTGAGGTGCTGAAAGCGAAGACTTTATTCATCAATAGAAAGAAGTATTTCTTCTTTACTACCTCCGTACAGTTCCTGGGGTTTGTGGTTTCTATTGATGGTGTGCATGCAGATCCCTCGAAGATTGAGGCCATTGTGCAGTGGCCTAGACCTAGAACATTGCATGACGTTCGTAGCTTTCATGGTCTGGCCTCTTTTTATCGCAGATTCATTAGGAACTTCAGCACTTTGATCGCGCCCATTACTGAGTGTCTCAAGGGACGTGACCTCCAGTGGACAGAAGCCCGCGGAGTCAAGCTTTGAGAAGGTGAAATAGAAGATGACGGAGGCTCAAGTATTAGCCCTCCATGATTTTGACAAATTTTTTGAGGTCAACTGTGATGCATCTGGTGTTGGCATTGGAGGTGTGCTTAGTCAGGCCGAACGTCCAGTTGCTTTCTTCAGTGAAAAACTTTCTGGTTCCCAAAAGAATTAATCGACTTATGACCTCGAGTTCTACGCCATTGTTTAGTCACTCAAACATTGGCGTCATTATTTAATCCAAAAGGAGTTTATTCTTTTCACTGATCACGAGGCTTTGAAGTATATTAATGGGAAGCACAAACTCAATAGGCGTCATGCCAAGTGGGTGGCGTACTTACTGGAGTTCACCTTTGTACTCAAACACCAATCAGGTAGTGTCAACCGCGTCGCTGATGCCTTGAGTCGACGCAATAATATTCTCTCCACCATGAGTAGTAGAGTGAAGAGATTTGACGTGTTTGCAGACATGTACGAAGCTGATCCTTTATTTGGAACGATCTTCTTGGAGGTGACTTCAGGACACCGCCATGACTTCTTGGTGCACGATGGCTATCTTTTTCGAGGTCGGTAGCTGTGCGTCCCAGATTGTTCCTTACGACAGCAGATTATCAGTAAATTGCACAACGAAGGACATTTTGGTCGAGACAAGACTCTCGCTCTTGTGTCTGCTGATTTTTACTGGCCAAAGTTGAAAAGTGAAGTGACCCATTTTGTGGATCGTTGCTATGTGTGCCAGCGATCTAAGGGAGCTCTCACAAATGCAGGCCTTTATACCCCATTGTCTGTTCCAAAAGCCCCTTGGCTTGATGTTAGCATGGATTTTGTACTTGGCTTACCCCGCACCCAAAGGGCGACAGACTCCATCTTTGTTGTTGTTGACAGGTTTTCCAAGATGGCACACTTTATTCCCAGCAGGAAAACCATGGATGCAGTGCGGATTGCTCGCCTATATTTCAGAGAGATTGTGAGGTTGCATGGCGTTCCTCGTTCTATCACCTCAGATCGTGACACAAAATTCATGAGCCAGTTCTGGAAGAGTTTATGGGAGAAGCTTGGCACCAATCTGAACTTTAGTAGTGCATATCATCCTCAGACTCCAGACGGAGGTGGTGGACCGTAGCTTGGGAAATCTTCTACGTTGTTTGGCAGGATCTAAGCCAAAACAATGGGATTTGGCGCTTCCCCAAGCGGAGTTTGCCTATAACACATCAATAAACATGACCACTAGATCGAGCACATTTCAGATTGTCTTGGGTCAGAACCCATCCAGGGTGCTGGACTTGGCCCCAATTCCACGAGTGGGTCGCAGTCATCCTAGAGCCGAAGAGATGATAGAGAACCTGAGGAGCATACATGATCAAGTGAGACCTAAGATTGAAGAAAGCAACAAGTACAAGGCACGAGTGGACAAACATCGACGTGAAGTTCTGTTTGATGTTGGAGACTTTGTTTGGGCTGTGTTGACCAAGGATTGATTCCCTGTTGGCGAGTATGATAAACTCAATGATCGGAAAATTGGACCCTGCGAGATAGTTCATAAGATCAATAATAATGCTTACCGATTGTGGCTTCCTAGTCACTTGAAAACTTCTGATGTTTTCAATGTGAAGCACCTAACTCCTTGTTTTTTGGTTTCTAAGGAAGATGATGTGAACTCGAGGACGAGTTCTTTCCAACCCGGGGAGACTGATGCAGGAGAGGATCAAGACTAACGTGAACTCCTTGTTAAGGTCTTCATTTTTAAATTTTTGTGTCTTTGGGCCTTCGACCTATCTTTTAGTTAGCCTCATTTATTTTTTTCTTAGGCCTGTTTTGTCTTCCATCTTTTAGGGTTTCACTCCCTTCGTTTTTCAACTATTTATAGCCCAGCTTGTGGGCATATTTCATTCAGTCTATCATTATTTGAGAATATTTCATATACCTAGAGCGTAACTCTTCCCCTAGCATTTCAATCATTCCCTTTCTTTCGTTGTTCTTCTCGTTCTAGCCCTACCCTTGATTTAATTCGGCGTCAGTGATTCATATCTAAAATAAATACTTAATCGTCTTTGAGGACCATTTTAGTACACTGTGGGGGCGCAATCGGCACATACACTGTGCAACCAAAAATCTGTAAGTGTGAAATAAAATGCTTATAACCAAGAACTAACTGGTATGCAGAGAACGGTTGTGCGCTGGTGGGTCTAAAGCGAATAAGTAACGATGGATGAAATTTGGCATGACCCCATGCAGAGATTGGAAAATTTGTGCGCATAAGCAATGCCTCATCTACCATTTGTAATCTTTTAATGGTAGCTTCTACGAGACCATTTTGTGTATGTACATGGGAAACAAGATGTTTTACATCGATCCCAATAGCCATGCAATACTCGTCAAAGTTCTTTGATGTAAACCTTGCAGCATTATCAAGTCTTATAGACTTGATTGGGTGGTCAGGGTGGTGAGCCCTCAAACAAATGATTTGTTCCAAGAGTTTTGAAAATGCAACATTTCTCGTTGATAATAATGTGACGTGTGACCAACGTGTTGAGGTTTCAACCAGAACCATAAAGTACCTAAATGTTCTGCTCTCTAGTTGGATAGGCCCACATATATCTCCTTGTATTCCTTGTAGGAATGGTATATTTTCTTTTGATTTTTTATCATATGAAGGTCTCGATCTTGTTTTTCTAATGAGCATGCTTTGCAAAAGGATTTTTGAGCCTTTGAAAAGGTTAATTGGGCACGATGACACGCGAATGATTCTTTAGTTACGTTAGAATTAAGTCATTCGTCTACTTTGGGCAAGATTAGACCCAACACTATACGTTGTGGTGGGATTTTTGTTATTTTGTCCTTGCTACGAAAGAATGGATGACTGTGAAAATTTTTTAAGATACAGATCATCATGTCACGACTAGGATGGCCTAGTCTATCATGGCAAAGCTTGTGTCAGTCAGTATCTCATATTTCATCATGGCTTATAGAATAAGACTCAGTTATCTGAATTGTAGTGATGCACAATCCATTACATTTACCTTTAAATTTCTCTAAGATGCACTTTCTTCCACATTCATTAGAGGTAATCTAAAGGTATTCTATGTCATCCTCACAATGGGTTTCAATATGAAAACCATTGTCAGGAATGTCTTTGAAACTTAATAAGGTGCGAGTAGCTCTAGGAAATAATAGAGGATTTACAGCTTTAATCAACCAATCATCGTACCTCGTCCTTGAATAACATGTGATGATCCAATCATTGTTGTCACAGATGAATTATAAACCACTAAGTTTTCAAATAATTGCCTATTTCACAATAATTAGGTAGCCTTACTATCTAATTAGCATTCAAATTCACCTCGATTCATGTCTGTATAACGGATGAATCACATATATAATCCAAGTTTGCAATATGACATAATAGGCATAAGTATGTATCCCACATTTATTTCAATGCAAATAGAAAATAAGTCCTCATAATCCAAAAAAATCGTAAAATAGTCTTCAAGAGAAAGAAGAAACTTGGGGGAAAGTGGGATAGATTAAAAAACTATAAAGAAATTATTCCAAAAACATTGTTCATGGCAAAGGAACTGATAAAGTGTGTTAATCAAAGTCTGGTGCATCTAGTGGCTGCACATATTCTTCTTTAATTTGTTCGTAAAGTGTGCAAGGGTAAGATTGACATCAACGTCATTGTATTCCATGTCTAAATATTAAGATTCTTGTTCTCTTGATTCTCGATATTTTTATAGCAAGCTGCAACTTTATCACTAGCACGAAGTGCTTGCACTAGTGTCCACTTACTCCACATCGGTAGCATATATGGCTCATTTCCAACTTGTTCTTTTTTCATGGGAGAACCTTTGGTAGCATTTGACCTTTTTTTGTTTGACCACTCGGTCTATCATTCGGTTCTCTTCGCCATGCATTAGAAGATCCTCCATGACACTTCCCACGAGTAGGGATATTTTCACGTGGGTAAGGATCGGCACATCCACATCCCCTTTCATGAGGGTTCTTTCCACGTTTTGCTCTACCAAAATTGGCTTCAGGAATTTTCTTTGTCCCAGTAGGGTGAGCATTATTGTTCACAAGGACTGCCTTATGTTTCTCTGCTCTCTGCAACGTATGCATCAACTTGTTAAAGGTTGCGATTCTTTTATTTTCATACAAATCTTTTTGAATTATGTCATCTTCTGTAATTGGCTTGCCACAAAAAATGAGACGTGCTTTTAGACACAACATGCATGTCTTTGTTGAAGTCATTTATCCGTTTATAATCTAGCAAACGGATTTCATTCCATTGGGCAGTTAACTCTATGATCAAGGAGTGATGAATGTTCCCAAAGCGGCCCTTAAGGAAATCTCAGAGTTCTTTGGGACTTTTCAATTGAAGATTTTTGCAACGTAAACTTGGGACAACATGGCGGCTAAGGAACATGAGAGCACCAACTTTCACTTTCTCAGATGGTGCGCCATCTTTAGGGTCTAATGGATCTTTAAGCATGGTAGAGTAGTCTTTAGCTACAAAGCAGTTTCCACATTAGAAACCCAACGGTGGTTCTCGATCAAGTCCTTCTAAGTCCAAGATGTCAAATTCAGGTTGAGTTGGATAGTCATTTCTGAGGGGAGTAGGCGCTAGGGATGAGCGACTGAAACAAGGGATGGGGATGAGCAGCGGCGGCAAACATCTTCTCCCACCGTAAAAATTGAGCAGCAATAGATCTTGGATAGAAGAAGTGAGGGTGCAGTGCAGAAAAAAGGCTTAGAGTTGTCGTGATGATAACATGATTAAGGGAGAGGTGTGAATCTTTACTAGTAATATCCTCCTTATATAGGGGAGAGCTACTTTACAATTTACAAGAGAAGGCCCATTGGGCTTGTACAAATGTATTACACAATACAATATAAATTCAACCTACCCAACAACACACTACTTTATAAAATCCTTCTACCAGGGGCGGCTCTAAGTGTGGGCAAGGTGGTCACGTGGCCAGGGCCTATTTTTGAAGGGGCCCAATTTTTTTCTATATTTACGTGAAAAAAATTATTTGAATAATATATACATGGATATTATTCCAATAAAAATACAGTCTTAAATTACTAAATCTAATAGACTATAGAGAGGTGATCAAATTAATTGCTCCAAAAAATGAGAGAAGAACTTCAAGAATCCTCGGTACGGTTAGGTGCTAAAGTATGTAGTATGTTATTACAAATTTATAATACTACGAGTTTGACATTTTATTACACTTATTACTATAATGTTAATTACTCCCTCCGTCCCGCTATATTCGTCCACTTTTGACTTTTGGAACTGTTCATCTAAGCACTTTGACTCATCAAATTCTCTCAATGTGTAAGCCTAAATATAGTCATGTGTGATCTTGTTTGATTTGTCTTAACATATAGATTATTAATATATAATTTCTATAATTTTTAATATACAAATTACAAGATAAAATCGATTAAAAAGTGTATTGGATGGTGTGTAAAAATGAAAGTGGACAAATATTCTGAGACGGAGGTAGTATTATTTAAAAAAAATTAATTGATAGACAAGGCCCCTGATTCCTTGCACACGGCCCTACCTTCAACAATAACAAAATTATAGTATCATATTAAAATATTGTAATAACCACCTTAAAAGTAATGTTTTTAAATTTTTTACTGAAGAAAATTTTAGGACAAGGTAATATATTAACAATTTTAAAAAGTTGGGCCCTCGATAAAATGGGTCTGGGCCGGTAGGGCACCTTTGCCCACCCTTAGACCGGCACTGGATTTACATGTTCACAAATATTTTAAAGTTGTTATTTTATCAAAGAATGTTTTCCAATTTTTTTAGAGCACACTTTATGTTTTATTTAAAAATTATCTTGGAAAGATCGAACGATAAACCAACCATTCACATTTTTTTAGTAAAACTGAACCGAACCAAACTTTAATCTTGTGTCCGGTTTTTTATTTTAGGTAAAAGATGCACCAGAAAAACTGAACCGAGCCCTAGCCTACTATGAGGGTGTTTGGCAGTGCGCTGCTTTTAATAGTTTAGCTTCTGCTTTTAGTGGAAGTGATTTTACTCTGTTTGGCATGTCAGCTTCTGCTTTTCACTACCATTATTTTGTACATGGAACACCGTTTCAGAGAAGCAGGTATGAGATGCTTTTGCTTTCAGCTCTTGTAAAAATCACTTTATCTACAAGTTAATCACTCCCAAACACCGGGAGCTTAAAAGGAGAGTCGTGAACCGCTGAGCTTGTATGCTTGTCAAACACTTGCATGCTAAAAGGTGAAATCAGAGATACCATTTTGTTGGTCTTGATGGACCCAGCACATGCTTGGTCGATATTATATTGAAACCTCCGAAACAAACTATTTTCAATTTAAATTTTTTTGAAAATGAGTATATATATATTTTTAAAAAAGTTATAAATATAAAATTTAGATAAAAGTTTACAAAATTAAATATGAAGGAACTATTAATCTATTAAATAAACATTGAAAATAGAAAAAAAATAATTAAAAATAATTGATCTCATATGAATAGTGAACACAAATACTTATTGAGACATAAAGAATATATAGATACAACAGCAATCATGATTTGGTAGGTACCATCACCAGAATTTAAGTAGCAGACGAAAGGGATAGTAGTGCTAACAACGAAGAAGACAACCACCGTAGAAAAATAAAAAATAACCTATCATTTTATGTATAAAAAGTCACTCTTACCCATACTAATTATTAACCGAAATACCACATCACACTTTTCACATTTTATTCTTATTTGAAGTGATTTCTTAATAGTTTTCAAAATAAATCTAATAAAATTATTTTTGTATCAATTTGTAATATTATTTTTATTTAGTTAATATTCAAAATTGGTCAATTTTAATTTAACCACAAAAAGTCAAGATTAAATAGACATTCCACAACGAAAGCAATATTAGTCTAACCTAATTATGAGCACATTAACAAGCCCACTAATACTAACCCCCTGATATAAAATTTTGACTTCTCAAATTTTAAATATTTTCTAATTTTGACTTCTATTTTTCATAAATAAAAATTTTAAAAACAAAAACGTGTGATCAAAATTATTAGTTCAGAAAATGGAGGAGCGTTTAGCATCACATATCCTTTTTTAGGATGGGAAAGAGAAATGGGGAGAGAAATTATTTTGCGACACATAGAAAGAAAACAAGGAGTCCACCGTCCATCAAAATCTTACTATTTCTTTTTTTTTTCGACCAAATTTTTTTTTTAATTAAAAAGTCATTTTTACCTCATACTAATTTTTAACCTACCTATCACATCACATTTATTCACTATTAATCTATATATGAAATCCACTTTTACCAATTACTGTACATCCAAGTGCATTTTTGAAAACTCAATACCAAAATACATTTTTTGATTTCGGGTATATTCTTTTCGATTGTAATTCTAAAGTTGGATGTTGGAAGGAACTAAAAAAGATGGAAAAACTGGACAAAATTGGAAAATATTTAAAAAAATTGTTAAAAAATATTCAATCAAATGATCATGCAAATAAATATATAAGAAACCTATTTATATTTGAATAAAAATGAATTTATCTTTGCTTGTATTTGAGGTGATATGTTATAAATTTAGATATATAATGTTAGTGTAATATATCTAAATATATTTTTTAGTCGTTGTTAGAAGAAACAAGAATGAATAATTAGAAGTCACATGTTTACTCTGTATTAAATTTTTATTCAGATTGCGAGGTTCTTGTTCATGCTCTTAAGCAAGGGAAGAATTCAGATTTGAGAAATTTACCTAAATAGGACTAAAACATAATGATTTTCCCAATATAGGAGCATATGTTTTTATTTTTCAATGTAGGATTTTTGGTCATTATCAAGTAGTCATTATTCAAGTAAATATCCATCATTACTGGACATTATTCCTCCCACAAGGTTATTATTAAGTCCGATTTAGGGAATAAAAAGTTTAAATCCTACATTAGGAAAGTCATTATGTTTTAGTCCTATTTAGTGCAAATTTCACTTCAGATTTCCACTGTGTTTGTTTCTCGTGGGCTGAATATGGTGATCCATACTCTAATTTGACTAGATTGCCGCCGTACAACCAAGTTTTTGGGAGGGATTTGGGAAGCTACTCCACCAGAGCGTGTTTCTCATTTATTCTCTGAGTAATGGAAATTTTTTAACTGTAAAAAGCAAAAGAATTGATTAAACACTCGATATTATTCTCTCCGTCCTAAAATTAATTTCTTATTTTGATTTTTGCAATCAAAGTTTTTAAACTTTGACTATATATTATGGAAAAAATATATTAAATTTTCATATAAATTTAGTATCAATAAATTCATTTTGAAACATAATTTTGAAATATATTATTTTGATAATATACATTCATATAAAAATGGAGATATTAATGGTCAAAGTGCCGCATTGGAGACCGTGAAAAGTCAAATGAGAAGTTAATTTTAGGACGAAGGGAGTAAATAGGTTAAAGTTACATAAAGTTTACTATTCCCTCTCTCTTTTAAAAGATCTTCGTGTTTACTATTTCGGTCTCTCGATAACTCATATTTGTTTGTATGTTTTCATTAATTAATCATTTGATAAAATTTAATATTCTTGTCAGATTTTGTTTTGTACTCGTGTAGATTTATTGATGTAGTTTTTAAATATAAATTTTTTATTTTTTATTTCTTTACCAATTTGTAAAAAAATCATTTAAAAAGTTACGAGATTTTGCACATTGATCAAAGAAAGAAAAATTATTTAGAGACGGAGGCAGTAATTAAAACTAAATATAGCATCATATAAAAAAGGGAGAAGTACCTAACTACGAGTAAAAGAGAATTTCTGTATTGTAAAAAAAGAATCTATAAGACTAAAAAAAATTGATTAAACTCTTGGTAGTAAATACAGTTACATAAAATTTACAAATTAAAACTAAATATAGCATCGTATTTAAAAAAAAGAAGAAATATCTAAATAGCTAGGAGTAATCCTCGTTTGTTACGTTAATAGAAGTGACATTAACACTCCGACACTGCACACTGCCACGATACAATTTTGACCATACATTGTGAGAAAAATATATTTAATTATGTATAATATAAATTGAATATAATTGGTTTTATCTTAGGATATAGTTTTGGTATATCTTATTTTTATATCATTTACTTATTTATTTATATTATATTTAACTTGTAGTCAAAGAGTGTCATTGTTTTACCAAAAAGGTCAAAATAGAAAAGGTTTTTAGGACTAGAGGGAGTAACTATCTCACAAAAAAGAGTAAAAAAAGTAATAAAATATATATACGTCATCCGTCCGGTAAACATTTCCTCTATTGACTTTTGGTAGGAGAAGTTGTAGAAGTTTGACCAAGGTGAAACGAGGATAATTAAAATAAGTAGTGCTCAAGAATATCCTCAAATGAGTAGAGCGTTGAAGATAGTTGGGATATATTTGATTAAATTTTAGAACTGCTATGGTTGGAGGCCATACGTAAAAGTGAGTATAAGTTAGTGTACACGTTCTAAAAGGGAGTTGCTCTAACAAAGCACGTAATAGGCGTAGGCGCGGATCTAATTGTATGAATACGGGGGCAGTCACTTCAGTCAATTTTTTTATCCCGTAATATACAGTATTAAAATAATTTTATTTGAAGAGAATTAAAAGAACGACCCCGATAAAAAGTTAGTTTGCCCCACTGACAAAAGAAAATCTTAGTTTAAAAGTAAAAAATAATTACTTAAAAACGTATACATGTAAAATATTTGAAATATCATAATTATATTATGTTATGATATATTTTATTCTTCTACTTTAAAAATAATTTTTTTATTTGAATACTTTAAAAATAATTTATTTGTTATCATTATCAAATGCTTTAAAAAAATCGGGAGTGCCACCCCTGACCCCATCATACTCTTTACTCTTTAGTGTGTATTTGCCTCCAGTTTTTTTTTTTCTGGATCCGCCACTGGCTGTAGAATGTTTTTTAGTGTCATTCGCTATATCTTTATATATGTTTGGGCATTAGTGAAATTTTATTTGTTAAATTAGATGATTGTGGAATTTAAACTCTTAACTTATTCGTATATAAGACTTTCAATCTTTCATGCAATGTCAAACAAGTGAAACAACCAATTCGTAAGCCAAGCTCCATCAGTAACAAGATTGATTGAATGGGTTGATTTTTTGTATTATTTAAAACTAATTTAGGTTATGTTGAAACATTAAAATAATAATATTGCTCATTGAATTATGGAGTACATGATAGAGTATATATAAGAGAGATTTCTAACACAACTAGAAATAGAGAATGGAAACTAACTAAAACAAAACATTTACCTTAAATAGGAATAGAAATTGACTTATATCAAACACTACAATAACTAATACCATTATTATTATTGTCTAACATCCCCTCAAGCTGAACTATGATTGAAGCAAGAGGAAGCTTGGACACTAGTTGAAAACTAAAAACTTTGAAAACAGAGAAGTCTGACTTGCGCCAGTGGCTGCTGACGTTGTTGCAGAAGAAGGAAGTCTGGCGTGCACTAGTAGCTGCAGACATTGTTGAAGAAGAGAGAAATGACATGCAGTGTTGTGGTTGCTGCTGACGTCGAAGAAGAAGAGAGATGATTGACGTGCGCTGGTAACTGCTGACATCAAAGAAGAAGAGAGTTGGTTGACATGCGCGTGTAGCTGCTGACGTTGAAGAAGAATAGAGAAGGCTACTGGAGGTGCCTGTTTGACTGAAGATCTTTGACATTCTTTGCTATTTCTTGAATCCGGGCAATGCCCTGTTTCTTTTTTAAGGGGTGAGTTGAAGAGGTATTTGATACGACACCAGTGGACTACGAGCTGGAGGAAGAACGGGAAGCCGATGGTCAGGAAGTGGAGGAGCAAGAAGTCGAGCAAGGACAGGAAGCCAGCGTTCGGGGAGTTCGTCGAGTTCGGAAGGCGCCGGTTTGGCACGACGATTATATTTTAAACTAAGTTATTATCATCTCCTTATTATTATTATTATTATTATTATTATTATTATTATTATTATTATTATTATTATTATTATTATTATTATTATTATTATTATTATGTAATAGTCTTTTTTTAGGTGAGTGAAATTATAAGCTCCTTCGAGGGTTTCTTTACGGTTCTTTACCTTGTCGCTTTTTTTGAACTGTCAAGGTAGATAACGTAGTTAATTAGGAATATGAAGAGTTAGGGTTTCTTCCCACCTATAAAGGGAGATGTATCCATTAATCACGGCATGAAAAAAACCTAATTCAAACCCTAATCTCCTCTTCTACGGCGCACGGCTCAAGCCTGCGAATTTTCTTTCTTTCTTATCTTCACTTTCTGGAGCTTGGGGACGCTCGAAGTCTTCCTATCCTGATACTTCATCGTATCAGCGTGCTCTTGTTGCAGCGGGATATCGAGTTCCGTTTTGCCCGACTTGACACGGCCCTGACTGCCATCCAAACAAACCTGGCCGCCCTCCAAGTTGGGGGAGGAGGACGCCTAGGGCATCAGGAACCGGGCAGAAACGGCGGGGGTGCTACACCAAAGCCAAAGTTAGAGCCGCCGAAGAGTGACGAGGCTGAACCCCTACGGTGGTTGTATCAGGTGAAGGAGTATTTTTCTTACTACGAAACCCCTCCCGAAGAACGGTTGCGTTGTGTCACCATGATGCTGGAGGGTCAAGCAGCCGATTGGTTTCGTTGGAGAAGGAACAACGGATTGATCGACGGCTGGGATGACTTCGTAGAAAAATTCAAGCAACGCTTCGATCCGTTGCACTACGTGGACTATTTGGGGCATATAGCGAGGGTGCGGCAGATGGGCGGAGTAATGGACTACCAGGCCTCGTTTGAGAAGATTCCCACCCACGTGACAAACGTGCCCGAGCAGCACCTATAGTCGTTATTTCATGCGGGGCTCAAACCACACCTACAACATGAAATCAGTTTGCTTCGGCCCGCGACGTTTCCAGGGAGAAAAGTGTTGCGGTTGGAATTCTGGCTCCATATTCCCCCTCTGGTCCTAACGGATTGCACAATAGCGTTGTGTTTCGTCTCCAATTCCCGGTCGAGCGCGAAGGATTCTGAGAGGGCGTCCGTCACGCGGTTTGAGGCCCCTGATTTATACTCAATCTTGAATCGGTACCCCAGTAATTTACGAACATAAAAGTGTTGGTCGGGGGTTTGGACGACCTGTTGCAACAACTCCCGAAGGCTTTGGTGGTCCGTTCGAATGAGGAATTCCCGCCCAAGCAAGTATTGTCGCCATTTTTGCACGGACTCAACTATGGCGTACAACTCCTTATGATAAGTCGAAACCATCAGCCGCCTCGGGCTCAATTTTTTACTAAAATAGGCGATGGGGCGTTCCTGTTGGAGCAAAACGGCGCCAATTCCACTCCCGGATGCATCTGTCTCCACCACGAACTGCTCGCCAAAGTCCGGAAGGCGGAGTACGGGCGCGGTGCTCATAGACTGTTTCAAGCGCGCAAAGGCCTCATGCAACTGCTCTGTCCATGCAAAGGAATCCTTTTTCAGAAGGTCAGTGAGCGGTGCGGCCACCTGGGCGTAGTTCTTTACGAAGCGTCTGTAATATTGTGTGAGACCAAGGAAACCACGTAGCTGTTTCAATGTAGTCGGACGGGGCCACTGCTCCATGGCTGAGATCTTTTATGGGTCGGCCTGTAACTCGTCGTTGGTTACAATATGCCCGAGGTACTCCACCTTCTGAGTGCAGAACATGCATTTGGCTTTCTTGACAAAGAATTGGTGATCCCGAAGCAATATAAAAACCTGCCGTAAGTGAAGTCCATGCTCCTCCAGGGTGGAGCTAAAATTCAGTATATCATCAAAGAAAACAATAATGAACTTGCGTAGGAACTTGGCAAATAGTCTGTTCATGCAAGCCTGAAACGTTGATGGTGCGTTGGTAAGGTCGAACGACATGACCAAGAATTCGTAATGCCCCTCATGTGTTCGAAAAGCCGTCTTGTAAATATCCTTATCGTGCATTCGGACCTGGTGGTACCCCGACCAAAAATCAAGTTTAGAAAAGACCCATGCCTTCCCTAGCTCGTCGAACAACTCATCCGCCGTTGGTATCGGAAAGTGATCCGGCACGGTTACCGCGTTAAGGGCCCGGTAATCCACACAAAATCTGTAAGTCCCATCTTTTTTCCGTACTAGTAGGACGGGGGACGAAAACGGGCTCCAGCTGGGTCGTATCAAGTCCTGTTCCAGCATGTGTTTCACTTTTTTCTCAATCTCTGCCTTCTAAAAGTGGGGATATCGGTAGGGTTGGACATTGATGGGCTTAGTCCCGGGCTGCAAAAAGATTCGACGGACGGCTTCCCGCTGGGGAGGTAATCCCGTAGGTTCCTCAAAAAGCTCCTTAAAGTCAGTCAACAGTTGCTCCATCTCTGCCGTCAAGTGACCTCCTGCTCCTTCGGTTGGGACATCCGGCGGCTCATGCAATTGGATCGTCATTAGCTCCATGCAAAAATACGTCTCTTGGTTGCCGGCCATAGCACGCAATTGATGTAATGTCAAGGGCCGGGCTACTGGAGCATCCCCTCGTAACGTGACTGCTTGGTCCCTCCATGTGAATTCCATCGTCACCCTGTCGTAATCGTGCAAAACACGCCCCAATTCCCGCAGCCACTGCACCCCTAGGACCACGTCGTGTCCATGAATGCGAAGAACGTAGAGGTCCACGGCAAATTCCGTTCCCTGGAGTCCCACATTAACCACCCTGCACTGCCACTCACAAGGCAGGGAATCCCCGTTGCCAACGTACACCCAAAAAGGTGGCACGGCTTCCACGGCTAACCCCAACCTCTCCATTGCCT